TTTGGGGATGTCTGTATTGACTGACTGTGGTGTGCTGAATGAGATACGGCACCTGGTGGCTGCTGATTACAGAATTTTAAGGCGTGTGTATGACACAGTAACTGGCAGTGTGGGGCAGCTGCAATTGCATCTTAAAAGTGAGTCTTTCATGGGAATCAGAAGAATAGTATACCAGGGATTTGTCTCAAAAAAGTTAATTAATTTGTAGATGGACATTTATTGAAAGATGGTAACAGTGATATTTCAAAGACTAAAACATAGGTGACTCTGACCAGAGAGAAAAGAATTTTGTTTGTTATTGTTCAAATTGGACGGCATCTTCACTTTCAATCTTTTCTTTGAAATTATTAAATTGTGAAAACTGACCCATTTTGTTTCAGGTGGGTTATATTTTTGCTTCAATTCAGCAGTATATACAAAAGTTCATACGCTGGTTTTGAAACTACTAAAAAGATTAGACTTTGATCATTTAAAATTTTCATTCATACTTACTATTAAAATATTTAAGGCTGTTGAAATTTTAGTATGTGTGAGTTAAATACTTTTTTAGGTTGTAGCCAAAGGTTATAAAGAAAGAATATTGACAAAACTGTTTATTTGGAGACCATTTGCCACTTAGCCTCATCTTCACAGTCTTAGAATTCTCTCATCCCTGAGCTCGGCTTTTCTCATGTCAGCACTCTGTGAGACCAGCCTTTGCTTCTACCTTATTACTTCGTCACACTAAAGGTACAGAAGTTTAAGTAGCACAAAAGGCCAAGAAAGCAGTGATGTCTAGGAAATTTGGCTATACCCAAGAAATGATATTTTTAAGAGGATGCAGTTGAGGAGTAAAATAATTTACAAGCTCTCTGATGAATGTATAATAAAACTAAGTTACAGGTGTAGTTGACCAAGTCTGCTGTGAAAAAGTTCTTGTTACATTTCTGTATTGAAGTAATGTGTGGGCTAGTGGATTGTTAAGTATTTCAGCAACATAAGATAACTTTTTGAGTTGTCTCCAAAGGGAAAAAAAAGAAAATATTTAAAAACCTTTAAGGTTGTATAATTTACTTTCTTTTAATGTGATAATTGTGTATTACAGAACAGAATCATTAATAAGAGAAAGGAGTTCATTTTGAGGTAACAGCATTCACTAGGGGCTGAAATTAAATGTTAAAAATGTTTAAAGTAGTTAGCAGTTCTACATAATTTTATATATAATTGTGTTTTCTTCAAGTCTAGAATTCAAAGAACTGTTGGAAATAGATAATAAGGTATATGCCTGTATCTGAATTTTTTTCTCTCTCAATATCAGTGATAGTTCGTGTATTTTTAAAATTGTAAGAAAATAGTTTTGCACTTCTGTAGCTCCATCTCAGTCAAATTTGTAGTTAAAGAGATTCAATTTGTGCCCAAAGCTAGAACAGAGTTTGTGGTAGTGTTAGTCAAGTTTGCTTGCAGCACCTTTAAAACTTGCGCTTTGGGCATGGCTAGGATCAGAACTGGTTCTGCAGAAGAAGCACAGATACTTTCCATGACAAATTTAGTTCTAAATGAAGCTTCTGTTCACTTCCAGCTTGCTAGTGCGTGGTGGACTAAGTATTCTTACTCGTGGTTAATTATCGTCTTACGTTAGAATTCCACCTAAGCCTTGCCTCTGGTCATCCCTATCGTATTTCAAAGCTTTTTGGTTGCAACTCTGCCTCTTCTCCTTCAGAGTCAGAAGCAGAAAAAATGTCCTCTTTTCCTACCTCTCATATTTTTCTAACCAATCTACTTAAATTGATTTATCACTCTTATTTGTCCAGACCTTCAGAAATGTTGGTTGTTTCTTATGGCAAACTCCTTCAGTTCAAAAATTTGATTTCAGCATACTTTAAGCTTATAGAAATAAAGCATGATGATAGAATTAGGTTTGACTTTTGAGTGATATTTTTGTCTCCTTAGAATTGACACTTCTTGAATCAATTCTTGAATTCTTGAATCAATGGTCTGTGAATATCCTGGACCACTTGTAAATTAGTACCGCAGTGAAAAGCCCTGTGTTCAATTAGGAAATAAGGAAAAGAAGGGACCCATCTGATTCCCTGGGCAGCACTCCACAAATCTCAAATCAAATGTCTGATCCAATCCTTGACTTTGCAGGTCTAGGGACCGATTTTCTCGGCTCAGTGTCATTGTGTGTATTAACACTTTCCAGATTTAAAAAAAGTCTAATCTGTGTAGAATGCCAAGTTCTTCTGTCCCATTAGAAGATGCTCCTGACACATAAATCACTGATGATGATTAAGACTCATCCATACTCAGGTGTCAGGAAGCCAGATCTGAACCTGACTCTACCACTTCCTATTTGTGTGACCTTGATTAGGAAATTAGTCTGAATATGTGTAGGACCTTCATCATGGTGTATTTGTGAAGATTGATATGATACATTAAAATGCTAAAACTTGTTTAGTGCCTAGGAAGTGCTCAGTAATGTTAATTATTCTTTTAACCTAATGTATAAAGTGAGTGCTTTCTTCAGGTGTCCATGTCACTTGAGACAAAATTATAGAACAGAAAGTTGCTTGGTGAATGTAAAGTTAGTTGAGAGAAACATAAATGGATGTCCCCAATTGAGAATACTTCTGTCTACTTAATAAGTTAGTTTGTTAGCCTTGCCTCATCTTACTTATGGATATTTGTTCTAAGGACACATAGGAACAGAGGTAATATTTTGCCTGTTCAGCATCACAGACTTCTGGCTCTAGGGTGAACTCGGTCATGTAAGTCAGGGTTCTCAAATCCAGCACTTTCACTGAATCTATGCTTCCCAGCCAGAGAATGGCTGGTTTTTATGCCATCCCCTGGGGAACATTTCTGTGTATGTTTTCATATTATGAGTGATAGAATTGCTTTACACTTTGGGAAGCAACTAAGGAGGGAGAAGACTTCATGAGGTGCTGCTTATGAGGCTTGCATTTGAAAGGCCAGAGAGCCCATCCAGGAAAGCCAGTGCTTTCTATTGCCTCAGAATATGGGGAAAATGGGTAATAATTGTCCTGTTCTTGGACTCTCCTTCTGGTCCACACACAAATTGCCTTTTATTTTATTTTATTTGGGGGGGGAGGCCCCATATTGTTTGCCTTTGAGTGCAAAGAACAGGTCATATCTTCATTTAATTGCATTTACATTTGTATTTTCCTAGTCCTCTTGATAGAGTTTCATAAACCCCGCTCTCGGGCAAAGCTATAAACTGCTATGAAGGAGTTTATTTGCAACTTGTGTGTGTGTTCCTTTCAGAGAACTCATTAATAATGCATACCAGGACAAGATCCTAGAGGACAATAGGTCTGGAACCTGAATCTGTAGGGAGCAAAACTACCCCATTAACCTGGCTACTTACCTTAGGACTGGTATAAATGAAGAAAAAATAAACTTGAGTGCTCAGCAAGCAATTGTATTTGAGCTACTGTATTTCTCTTGTAATAGCTTAGCTTTTACCTTAGCAGATACATGAAAGGTGTACTTGTTTCCATTACAAGTTTATAACTCCTATATTATGAACATAGCTTTATAAAATGGAGAGAGCTTTTGATCAGTTCTAGATTCTATGTAGATGTCATCCAGTACAAGTTACTCTTCGAGCCTCAGAGACTTTGTATGTAACAACAAAGATAATGCTAATGTATTGATATGTAGATTGGCCTATTATGAAAGGATTGGGGAGAATTCCAGATTATATAATAGTCACTCAATAAGTGTCAGTTCCTATAGTTCCTTTTAATATCACTTAAAAGTAAACGTCATTAACTGGTCCAATCCTTATGTACTGCACATAAGAAAATAATATAGCACATTTTTCTGTGATTACTTAAATGCCTGTGCAGAAGAACTGTTTTTTGGGTTCTTTTTTTTTTTTTTTGACAGTATTGGGGTTTGAATTCAGGGCTTCGACTGTGCTAGGCAGTTGCTCTACCACTTGAGCAACCAAGAATTGTTAATTCTTTTTTTCTAAACAATAGTCTGAAAGAGAAGTTTTTTGTTTGAATGATAAATGCTGACATTTTGCTAATAACATACTAAGACTTCTTGTAGATAATTCAGTTTTTAAACTGAAAATGTCATTTGAGGGTTAACTCTCCTGTTTGTATAAATCAGAAGTTACTGCTGGTAGCACTAGTGGATTGGCTCAAGTAGTAGAGAGCCTGCCTAGCAAGCACAAGGCCCTGAGTTCAAACCCCAGTATCACCAGAAAAAAAAAAAGAGTTACTTAGCAACAAGAAGATTGAGGCCGTATAAGTAATTATTACGTAATGCTAACCAGAATGACAAGTCATGAGATAATAAACTGTGTTTCAAAAATTAGAAGTAAGTTTTTTGAAAGTTGGAGATAATTTTCTCACAGAAAACTGTAGTTGTACTTACAGAGTCTACTTGTGTAATTTACTGCAGTACTGAAGGGACTTTTTGACAGCTAAGAGATAGAAAAGGACTCTCAGGAAGTCCAAACATACCAGTTTGACAGTTAATCAAGAATAAAGTACATCTGTATGGACTGTCCAGGATCCGGACACAGCCTCCTTTAGTTTGCTCTCCCATTACTCCTTTTCTCCTACAGACATAGAAATTAGATTCCTTAGCCAAAACTGCACAGCTATTTTCTGTCAAAAAATAAATGTCCATAATTTAAAAACCAGTACAGATTAGCATTATTTATATTGAATAACCCATAGTGGCCTTAATGGATGTAAACAAGTTTGGGAGAATGATTCTTTTTTGGTGGTACTGGGATTTGAATTCAAGGTTGCTAGGCAGGTGCTCTACCACTTAAGTCACTCCATTAGCCTGAGAAAATATAATGAGAATCCCATCAACTTTGATCAAATGACTTTGATCAAAAAACTTGAAAGTTTTCAGCAATCCATTATTTTCCCATTAAGTCCAGTGAGGTTCCCTGAAAAAAAAGGTAGACTGAGAAAATACCCAAACAGACCCTTTTGGCTCTGTGTCTTCCCATTACTCTCTTCTCCAGACTG